TTATTACAAAACATGTTAAGAGAACATTGAACAAGTTACATACAACATCACTTTATCTTTAGTGGGCTTTTGTGCCCCTTTTTTTCATACTGTCCATGTGGCAGAAATGGCATAGAACTTGCAGAATGCTCAGTCTTAGTATTGCACCATCGATGCACAAATTTAGCTGCTTGTCAAAATATTTGACCACTAACTCGGTAATCACAGTCCAATACTCAAAAAGTACATCTAAGTGTACCTGCAAGCCACAGACATCTTGGAAACAAAAGCTTCTGACAAACCTGAGATGAAATGGGCTGATCTTGTCTAACTCCTTGCTGTGACTTCCTAAGTCTGTAACAAAAATGCCAAATTAATATGCTATCAGCTTATTAAATTCATCCTGTTGGTTTGGGGTTTTTTTCTGGGAAAGGTATGTTGGGAGGGCCTGAGTGATGGGGAAAAATACTTCATTCTACGTGTAATAAACCTGGATTCCATTAAAGGAACCCAAAGGAGGATTTAGCTTTACAAGAGAAGGTTGTCTACGTTGAGCTCTGGGACAAAACACTCTCACTTTGTTTTTTGTAGGCTCCCTATGTGGATGTGATTTGTGTAAATAGCTACTTCTCCTGGTACCACGACCCAGGCCACCTGGAAGTGATTCCACTACAGCTCACAGCACAGTTTGAGAACTGGTATAAAACCTACCAAAAGCCCATTATCCAGAGCGAATACGGAGCAGACTCAGTTCCTGGACTCCACAGTGTAAGTGTTGCAGATGTCCCAGATGGAAACAGCTCTGCTGCTCTGACAGGACACCACAATTTAACTGGCAGAGATGGGCCCTGAGCCTGCCTTTGTTTTGAGATGCATTGGCTGGGAGTGCCTGGAAAGACTCCAGGACTGTAATCCTGCTCCACCAAAATCAGTGAGCTTTGCCACTGGCAAAGGTTGGAGCCTGCCTAGGGAGGAGTTCCCAGCTCTGAGTGAGAGCACTGAGCACTCTGAAACCTGTGCTTTGGCAGTTGTGGAAGATGCTGAATTGGAAGATGCAGCACTGGAGGGTGATGTCATGGTGCTGTCACATGCAGAAGGGGGTGGCACTGCTGTCCCTGCCATGACAAAGACCACCGCAGCCTTTCCCTGGAATTCTCTCTGTAGGTTATATGTGTGGCCCCTTGGCACTGTCAGTAGTTGCCAGCTGTCTCTCACAGCCATTGTTAATGCAGCAGCAATGAAAAGACAAACCAACCACGATGTTTGCCTTCAGGAAGCAGGTCCCCAGTAATGGGAAGTGCCTTTGCTGGGATTAACTGTCACCTGCACTCAAGGCCACCTCTTTTCCCTGGCTGCAGGATCCCCCTCTCATGTTCAGTGAGGAGTACCAGAAGGCCATGCTAAAGGAGTACCACTCTGTTTTTGACAAGAAGAGGAAGGAGTATGTGATTGGGGAACTCATATGGAATTTTGCTGATTTCATGACTAATCAAGGTAAGCTTCTCTTTGTGCTCCAAACAGCTCTCCATCCTCCCTGCAAGTTTAAAGTGGTTTATGCCACACAAACAATATTGGGCTGCAGGGCAGGACAAAGAGCCCTCTGTTTACCAAGACAGAGCACTGCTGGTTCCTGTGACAACATCCAGCATGACCAGAGCCAAGAGGGAAGGTCCTGCCTCTAATTAATGCAGCCTCTCTCCAGCCTGAGCTCCTGCACATCCCACCTGCAGGGATGGTCCCCAGAACACGAGACAGTGCACTAGGGCAGAGCAAGGGAAGCTTGTGAGCAGACCCAGACTGCTCCTGTTTCTTGGCCACCCTCAATTCAGAGCTCATTCAGCTGTCAGGACGTGTCTCACTTCCTATTTCATCTACAGCTGCCCTTAGCAACAGAGCACCCTAAATAATGCATCATTAACTTGGTAGAGGTTTAGCAACAGAGGAGCAGATGCCACACTGGCAGACAACTGTCTATCATGACACTCCATCCACCATTAATAAATGATAAGTGCAGTCACAAAGTACTGGGCATTCCTTAATCTACAGTGCAGCCACACAGAAATTAAACAATTACAGCTCAGGGGACCTGGTAAGGAACCACTTCTGCTCATGCCACCTGCAGTGAGCTCAGGGGTGAACAGTCAGTGTTGACTGCAGGCAGAGAAAACCCCTAAGAATAATCCAGAGAGCACCAATACAGGCAGTAGAAAGTTCAGTCAGTGCAGTGCAGGGGTCAGGAAAGTAGTATCAGCTTCAAACAGGAGGATGGAGAAAATGTAGACAAAGTTCACACACACAGATGCAGTTCCAGTGTCTCTCTGTGCTGCAATCCTCTTTTCTACTTTCCTATGAGAACTAAAATAGGCTAAAAGGACAGACACCACTAAAGGACAATACAGTCAAACAGTCATCAACATTTTCCAACCATCAAATTTCAAGGTGGAACCAGTGGCAGGAATATCTACTGTAAATACAATACTGCACAAATTAATGGGCACACCCAAATTAAGTGCCATCGACTTACCAGCTGTAAATACACTGAATTGCAGCTGCATTGCTCTGTGACATCGATTATTTGTGCCAAGGTGACACAAATTACATCAGCCAAGTTCCCCGTTGTACCTTGACTGTGTGGAGAGGAAAGTGCATAGGTCTCTTCCTCCTAACCTGATTTAGTACCTGCACTGCAACAGTTCAAGTAGGGCATGTAAGAGCATGTTATATATGCTGTATTTTATAACCTCTACAGGGACCACACGTGTTTTGGGGAACAAGAAAGGAATATTCACCCGCCAGCGACAGCCCAAAGCAGCTGCATTTGTTCTTAGAGAGAGATACTGGAAGATTGCAAATGAATCAAGCTGTCTTCCTCCTGTAATAACATCACATTCCTTCTTTCTAAAATGAAATCAAAGGGTTTTATGCTGAACTTGTTAGTAAATTTCTGTTTAAATAACTTGTGTGCCTGACTCAAGTCTTGCAAGTCTAATGCGATTTCTTAACCACCTGAAGTAGTTACTGTGATGAGAAGCAGATCAGAAACACTGGTTTCCTCTGCTTAGCCATGTCTGGAGCTTCCTCTTTCCAGAGAGTGAAACAAATATTCAGAGTTTCAAGGAGCTGAAGTTTAAGAGATCCTGACTGAGGTATCTGTTTATGGCAAAAAAAAACCAACAAAGCAACACAAATATTAAAAGACACAAATCAATGCTGAAGACTTAAAAAAAAAATAAATCTAAGTTACCCTAAATGAACATCACATCCCCCTAATGCAAATGAGGTTTTCCAGTTATACTCCCCTAACAGTTACACTACTCAGATCACAGCAAATTGTCCACAGAGGAGCAGAGTTTAATGCAGCTTCTCCTGCCTGACAGGATGTGTGTGTGAGAACTCCTGAGCATTCACAGCATTCAGGAAGGGCAAGAACCACTGTGAGGACACCCAACATACTCCCAACACAGTATGGAATTCATAGTACAGCAGCAAGGTGGAATATGTTAGATAAGCAGGTAGTACATCCACTGAACTTTAATAAAAGTATTGATTTTCCTCACAGTACCAAAACTGCCATTGTTTGATGCAGTTTTACCTTCCAGCATGGAAGGGCTTCCTTCACTTTAAACTGTCACCATGGACCACAGATGTTTGCTGCAGCCTTCAGAACATTTAGGAAGTTTTCAAGGGAAAAGAAACAACATACTATCAACATCTCTCACACCATGTTAGGTCTAGATCTTCTATTTAACTAAACTCCCAGAATATAAAAGTCTATGCACAGTAAAAAGACACTTGTCCAAACGTACCATGGTAGAAGCAGTTACCATATTTAAATCCACTAGCAGTGTTTGAAAGTCACTTCAACTTCTCCACCTCTAGACATCATTATTTAAAAATGATTCCCCATTTCACCAGACAGGACATACCAAAACACAGAGAAGGATCTGACACTGTTCACTCATTACAAACCAGGGCTCAGATCCCTGTGGTAACACCGGGCTTGCAGCTGCAGAAGAGGAAGTTTTAACTCCATTCAGTCCAACACAGGCAGAGTTTAATACCCATATGTATGAAAAGCACACATTTGAGCTCAGTTCCTGCTTGTTCTGACCAGCTCAGTGCAATCACAAACCCAAGCTGCCCTACCCAACCCTTCCCGGCAGCTCCCTCAGCCCCCCCAAATCCAGGAACACACGCACTGCATTTCCCAGGTTCTTGGTGATCTTGGGGCGATGGGTTCAAGCAGATCCACAGAACCAATAAAGCAGAAGTGATAAAGATCACACACTGAACGTTGGGGTTGTGTGTTTTTTTTGCACGTTGCTTAAAGAACTGTAAACAATTAAAGCCTCAAGTCAACGCTGCTCAGCCTTTACACACCCAGTGCACACAACGTGATGAAGCTGCAGGAATTCTACAAACTGGGATCTGTGGGGAATCAAGTGCTTTAAACTACTGCTAACACACACAATGCCTTTGAAAAAAAAAAAAAACAAACACAACTTAGTACATTTCTAGAAACAGAATTACAGTACTGACGTAAAAAACAGTTTCTAAGGCTCAGACTGAGTCCAAAAAGGCCTCTGATTGGGTTCATTCAAGCTCTTATGTTTGGACTGCATGAATGCAGCACAAGAATGATTGCAGCAAGACGTCCACAGGTAATTTCTACATTTATTATTTTTCTTTTTATACCAAAAAAGTTATGTGCAACAAATAGAATTCATACATATTTACATTGGTTTTTTTTTTTACCTGTTAGCAAAATTGTATCCTAAACCTCCGGTAGAGAATCTCTCAGCCTGTTATCGATGAAAGGAACATCTGCCCAATGACTCCATTTCCATGGGTGTTTAAATTTGGAGTTTAAAGCACTAGGAATAAATAGTGGATGGAACATACTATACAGAACAAACACCTAATATTTAGGCCATGCTTAATACAGTTTTATGGTAACAGAATACTTCATCTTTTCTGGACCAGTTTTGTCTCGTTCACGTTTGAAACAACATTGGCAGAACCAAAGCCATTCAATCTCTGACTTCAGCCCATATAAATCAGGAGCATCAAGTGCTGCCTGAAGCACCTCACCAACCTCCTGGAACAATTGAGAGACTCTGTACAGCAGCAGACAAACACTACAGAATGCAGAAACCTCCTCACAAGAGATCTGTTGTCACTTCAGACATCAAAGGTGGTCGGGAATGTTTCATTGGCCTCAGCATCGTGAACACTTTACAGTGAGAAACTTCCAAGAACACTCATTTCCTCAACCAGACTTGAATGCTTTGTTGGCCTTTAAGAGTAACAAGTACCTTACAGTAAGAGGATTTCAGGAATGTTTAATTCCTAAGCAGGTTTTGGGATGAGGTTCTTTTGCCTTTCCAATCCGCCCCTCACCGAGGAACTTCCAAATGAGAATATTTGGTGACTCTGAGAGCCAAAGAGGGAGGGGGAGGAAGGACCCAAATTCAGAGCCACTGTTTGGATATTGTGAATTTTTTTCCCCTCTGTTCTCATGGGTGTTGAAACCACAACGAGGATCTGCGTAACATCCCCCTGTCCCTTGCCAGCACAGGTATTAATTTACCTGTGTTTTCCTGTATCCTCAAGATTTCTCAGAATTTGCCTTTGGGGCTTGGAAGGGTAAAATCAGAATCAACCACACACTTCCCACCATGTTTGTTTTGGCTGGGGCAGGCAGGGGGGCACTCCTCTGATTTCCATCACATCACCACCTGAGCCATTTTACTGGAAGAAAGATGCTGTTTCTATCATTGGGAGCAACAAGGAGAGCCAAAGAACTGGAAGCAAAAAGGTCCAAATTTCTACTGCTAAGATTATTCTGCCCTTTATTCAGGCCAACTGCATTTCTGAAGCACGAGAGAGAAATAGAAGAGTCAGGGCCGTTTCTAGCAAATCACTTCCAGTAAAAAGTAACTGCAAGAAAAGCACACAAGACAAAAGAGTTCACAATTAAGGATCAGATTTGCAAGTCTGTGCACAAAGTGTAGCTGCAAATTCTTCCAGAGACCAAACTCCAGTTCCATTTGATCCCTGTGTGCACACTAACAAGGACTGCAGACACGACTGCTGGAAATCTGGCCCTAAACATTTTTACTAAACAAACTGAATTAACAGACTATGCCCACACAAACAAGCACAAGACACAGTGAAGTTAAGTCAACACCAATACTTTCAGCTGATGGGGCTTTTTTTTTTTTTTTTCTCCTTTTTTTTCCCAGAAATTGGGCCAAGTACTCATTGATCATACTTGTCTCCATGGCTGCTTGTTCTGAGATATGAGCACTGCCACTGACCGTTTCAGGCAGCACGTGTTCACCTCTTCCTTGGATGAAAAAAAAAAAAAGATGCCTTAGTGTAGATCACAGGAATGCATCAAAATAAATCTATACCACATATTAAACAGTGATAATGCCTCAAGGCTTGTGAGAGAACAAAGCCAAGCCTTGAGGGACCAGTTTAACATCATTCATTCCCCTCATATCAAAGTTCAAGGCATTTGAGAGACAGAACTAAACATCAAGACAAGCTTTAACTATACTCTGGTCAATACAAAACGTATTTAATGAATTGTTGTCTAAAACTGTCAGACAAGAGGGACAAGTAATTTAGTGTTACATGCAACAGATGTTACTCATACCACAGAACTCTATACATAAAAGCAGTTTCCACCTACATCCTTGATACAAACCAGAACATGACTTCAGTAGTAATTTAAATACTATTTTGTGGATTCAACCTCCAAATTCTCTTTGCTCTACGGAAACACTGCATGTTTCACAGTCAAGTTTATCCTCAGCAACTTAGTGTTTATAATCCACTTATCCATACAACAGAAGGGTCTCTCCGACATTCAATGTTTGAGAAAAAAAAATAAATCCAAAAAGTAGTTAAATTAATTCTTTAAATAAATGGTATGCAGTTGGAATTCTTCATGTTTAGAAGCTGACAAGGGCAAAAAGCAGCACAGCACCAATTACAGAAAGTAACTGAACCTACACATTTTGGTGTCACAGAGTCCGAAACACAAATACTTTACTCTTCCAAATCACCATCAGCCTTTTTTTAATTAAACTGAAACAACATTGCTACCACTTCTCAGTCTAAAAACTAAACCATCTCTCGTAATACTCCTCTATCCCCAGCAAGTTTGCTGGGAATTTTGTTTTGTTTTTGTTCATTTTTAAAGCAAGGACACTTCTGCCTGCCAAGTTCAATGCAAAGTATTTGGTTTAAGATTTTAAGACAGAAGGCACTTTTAACATTCAGCCTTAGAATACTTAGTGCAGAAACAACATGTACAATTTTGTTCCTTTGTTTAAATCTGCAGTTTAATATTTCCCCCCCCCCCCAATTAGTTATTAGAAAGAGCAATGATAGCACTATATCACATTTCATTTTCAGGAGCACATTTACTTACTTATCCCATTAAACAGCTTGCCCTTCCAAGGGATCTTGTGTGTGTGTGTGTCAGGCCTAAAGTTCATTTCCCAGTATAGCACAAACCAAGGATCCTGACGAAGATCAATTAAGTAACTGCTTTTTTCAGTGCACGACTTGGTTATCCCGCTCAGTCAGTGGTTTCCACTGCAATTGCAATCCTATACTGCAGCATTCATAGAACATCAAACATCAGTAACACTGGCTGGCTGACCACAGCTTAAAAATGAAACAGCTCTGCATGGAAACTGAGTCCTTCCAGAGAACACTTTGACACACCAACCCCCAACCTGCACAGAATATCCTGGTGGATCGACCACACGGAGCTATTTTCACTCGGTACAGAATTAACGAGGTTGTGGTTTAATGAACACACTTCAGGTTTTCAGCTTTAATTCCATTTTCGGTACTGGAGACAAAAAGAAAGAAAGAAGGAAAAAAAAAAAAAAAAATGGAACCAACCCCAAGCGTCATTCTTGGGACAGCACGAGCAGTGAGTGCAGCAACTCCGTGTTCTCTTTAGAGGTCACTTCTTCCATCGTGTCAGTCGACTGTGAGCTGAACCCTCTGACAGCTCCTAACAAAACCCATTTGGACAGTGAGTTCTCCAGGGATGAAACCAATAGTTCTAATTTTATTTACAGTGTTAAGTCCTAGTCAAATCTAAGTCCATCAGCTAAAAAAAAAAAAAAAAAAAAAAAAAGTAATACACATACTGTAAACATGGCAACATTAAATATGGTGATGCTAGTCTAGAATATTTAATGTCATGATCACATCTTGTTATACCTGAATTTATATACAGGATATTTTATAGCAAGTGTTACCCACTTCACAAGTGGAGGGGGACGAGAGAGTCTAGGTTTTGCTGTGGCTAAAACTCCTTCAAAGTAAAGTTAAAGCTTGTCTTTGATTGTATTAGAGCTTTCTTTCACAACCACATTTAAACTGAAGATTAGCACAGAAAAATTACCGGGGGGGCCCCTTCAAATTTATAATTAAAAATTCAGTTATGATTCTCAGGGAAAGTGTCTGATATGGAGAATAAAAAATTACTGCAAAATAAACTTAATGGAAGTTGGGTCTTCAGACTGTCAGTCAAGAGTTCAAACAGGGGTTATTCCTGTTTGGGTTGGAGTTGCCGTTTCCAGGCCTCGTTCAAATAAACTAGTCGTTTGTAGTTGATGATAAAGAGAATGAAGTTCAGCAAATATGTGATGACGCAGACAATGCAAAATTCCTTCAGCACGAAGTACAGAATGTATGCCAAGTACAATGACCCTACTACAGACACTATGGAGGATGTCATGAGGATTAGAGCTGCTACTGCACTTGCTGTCATACCTGCAACAAGAGAGAGAGAGTTACTAGGGCTGCTCTCGGGCCCCTCCACACACAGCACAAAGTCCGAGCACTCACTCACGCTGAGGGCTCCTCAGCAAGTCTATCTTACAGGAAAGTCTGGCTAAAACACCACTAGTTCATGACAAATCACCCTCTGGAGGGGAGCAGCTAAGTTCTGTCTGACAGTCCTGTGATAAGGAGTATGTTTATATCAACCATCCTCCGTACTCCTGAGTTATGGGAAAGTTACAGGCTGATCGAGTTATTTCTATCAAAATTAACAGCTTTATCACAGACCACATGGTTACCAATAGGTATACATTCCATGCACTTTTTTGCCTATTACTCCTGCAAAACTTGAGAATCCCATTTTTATTGCCTCTCTTTTCTACCATGCAATTGGATGCTAAATATACTGAAGTGAAAATACCAGCACAGAAACTGTCTTGACACTTATATTATTAATAGTAAAGCAGAGGAAAATGCAATTACTCTTGTTATCAGTTGGGTTTTTAAGCCCTTTGGACAGATGTATCATTAGGCTGGTGCTAAAAAAAAAAAAAAAAAAGATATAAAAATCACAAGCATTTATCTGGTTTCTGGCAGATTGTGCAATCTGTACTGCACTCCTCCTTCAATACCACAGACCTGCTACATGCTTTAGGCTTTAAGAAGAATTAATACTTACCAAGTAGCATCTGTAGTATATAAAACACGAGTCCAAAAACACTGTTTGACTGATTTATTGCACTGTCCTTTCCAAAGATGGAACCCAACAGACCGAATCCTCGACCCCATCTGTAAAACAGTGAAACCAATTATCTCCTGTTTGGGCACCTATTGCTTTTACATCAGTATTTTCAGTTCATCTCTGCTGGGAAAAGAAAAAGAGGTGCATATATTCTGACATGACCACTGGAATCCTACGGGAAGTTCCGGGTTATCCTGGAAAACCAAGCAGCTTGCAACAGGGGGAGCACTTTATCCACAGGTACAGCTTTATCCCACACCTGGCAGATTGTAAACTTTATACACACCAGGAACTACGAGTTCACACAGCTGCAACTTCACCAAACACCACGTTTGCTTCTGTTTGAAGCTGTTTTGTCGAGTACCCAACAGCTTTAGCAGTTCCCTCCACCACAGCAAGTTGGACACGTGGTCACTGAACAGGGACGATGGTACAAGTGGTAGGGATTTGTTCCCAACTCTGCAAACCAGGACATATGTTTGCACCTCAGCTGCTCCTGAGCAGTCTCACACCCCAGGAAGAACCCCAATCTGTCAAGCAGATGAGCTGGGGTTGGCACCAGAACAAGATCCTCAGCCCTCGTTTGTCAGAGCACAGCGAGACACTTTGGGCCAACACCTGAGTTCCCCACAAAGTGACTTCCTAGTGATAAGACAGAAAGCAGCACAAGCCCTACAAAACTGCTGCTGCAATGAGGATAAAAGAGGAAATTACCAAATGTATTTGTGCTAGAAACCAGGAATTTGATGCCCCAAGGCAGATCATGCCATTATTTGTAAAAGCAAAGTGAGGACCTTATTTGTTAGAGTCACTTGAAAAATATGAAGTTAATGCTATTCCAACAGGCAACTTAACTCACTTACAAGAGAACATCGGGATATCTGCCAGCACGATTTTGGAGCACCAAGCCAAGCACTACACATGGCTTGGTTCCCATTATCAGGTTAACTGCCACAGAACTATGTAAAAAGGCACCATTCCTCAGTCCTGTTGCAGCAGAAAATGTCAGTGTGCTACATTTATGCCAAGAAAAGTGCAGTTTGTGGGTAATTTCTTGTGCTAGAGGCCATGCCCTGCCAGACCAAGACACAGCACAGGTTTGCTCTGTGCACAGGGCAGGAACATTGCCGATACAACTCACCACACATGTGGGACCAGTGACAGGACACCAACACATGACAAGCTGTTTCCTCACAGAAAAAGGGATCACAGCAAGTACAATTCAATGCCATCTCCAAAACACTTCACAGTCTCACAGCCATCTGTGCACTAGTTGCAAAACATATCCAAATTAATAATTTTAATTGCAGACAGTTACTAAATTTGAATTAACTATTATAGGCAAGTCTTGTGCTCTTCTCCTCAGGAAATCCAACAGAAAATTGAGTCCCAATTTCTAGAAAGCAAAAAGAGTAAAAAAAAACCAGTGGATCCCAGCACTCACAGCAAAGGGAGCCACACTTCCCAGAGAGGGATTTAAAAACAGACCAAACACCACAGAAAAACAGATCAGCAAACACTGTAAAGAAATACTGCAAATTCCAAGGAATCTCCGCCATGATGAGATTTTCCTCCCACGTGCTGAATGTTATCTGGATTTTAAGTGAGAACTGTTTATTTTTTAGCCTTCCTTTGCTAAGATATCACAGCACATGTAACAATTGTTTTGTGTTGCCCAGCTGCCAAAGGCAAATACATTAAAGGTATCATCCTTTTGCATATCCTAGTTGATTTTTATTTTTCTCCATTACTGCACTTATAGATACTTCAGCTTTCTATCCACAGGTGAAATGTATTATTCTAGTCTCTAAGGGAGCCTTTTTTGAAGGGTGATATTAAACTGTTTGAACACTTTCCTCACCAAGAGACTGCACAGCACAACTCCCAGTGTGCAAAGCCCGTGATGCTCAATCCCTCCCCATCCCTGTGTGCTTCCCCCTCTGACGCTCATCAGATCCTGCAGTGTTTGGATGCAAACTCCAGCTTAAAACATCAGAAACTTTCTTCTGCACAACCTGACCCTGCAGTCCCTCTGCAAGAGAATAAAATGTTGCCGGTGGAAGGATAACGAGTTCCAGCCTTTCCCGCCGGGTCCACACCCGCAGTGATCTAGTCAGAGCTGCAAGGTCAGAGCACGGCGAGCACTTTTTCCACTTCCAAGAGTTCATTAAGGCTCTTGTTGGACTTGTAGCAGCTTGAAGGACATGAAGTATTACATTTCAGTCCACGGAGTAACAGCTCTAATCTCACATCTTATTCCACACTCTTGAAGGCAGCTAAGCAGCCTGGGGTTTAACATGAAGGCCTTTTCCCAGCCCTATAAGGTTGGAAGTGCGAGCAAGTTTTCTGCTTCAAACTGAAAAAAATTAAGGCTTGGTATATTTTTATTTTAATCTAATTTCTCTATTGAAGAGGCTAAATCAGCTCCTAATTTTATTGAGGAAGTTCCTCAAACCTACTAAAATGCACAATGAACCAAGAAAAAAGCAAGCAATTGGAGGAAGGATAAAAACTGAGTAGGATAATCTTCCTTCTCACACCAAAACCAGGCAAAACACACCTGAGTTACAACGATTTAGAAGTCTTAAAAAAAAATACAGCAGACAAACATCAAGAAGAAAGTCCAAATAAAAGAATAAGCCCCAAGAAATAAAACATCAGTTCTTCAAAGAACCTGCCTTTCTTACAAAGAACATAACTTAGAATAACTGTTATTAACTTGTATCAACTTTTTTGGATACAGAATACTAAGTAAAATGAACTTGCACTAATTACAGCGTGGTTTGCACAGCAGGATAAAAGCAGAGCTCAGTATCACCAACTTTTTCCTGGTCCTGACTTGTGGCTCCCATCCCTGAAGTGCCAAGAATTCCAGAGTGAGAAGTGCAGTCACCTGGGGTGACTCAGAGCTCGGTGACAAACATGGGAGCCAAGCCCACTTTCACCACGCCCGAGTTTCACTCCTATTAAATAAAAATAAAGAGCAATCTGGACTAAGCACAAGGAAGATTTCAAACAAACCATTGAGACACCTTTGTGCATGTTTCAAGTAACTCAACTTCCCTCTCTGTTCAAGACCACAGCCTGCTCCACTCCCCACCTGCACGTACGACTCTGAATGCTCTTAGAAAAGTTAAACAGTGATTCAAGAAATTCAAGATAAAGTGGTGAGAACTGGTTATGCAGTTTCCCAACATCTAAAATTGAACACTACAGTGATTTCCAGTCCAACGTGCATTGGGTCTTGAAAGTTATTATCCACCCCTCTAAACAGTGTCCCCTTTGGTCTGAGGTATTTAAAGCTCAGCACTGTTGCATTTTTACAAGTTTAAAGCAGTATTTGTGTTAACCTGCCACTTCTTAACAGGAAAACTGGAACTGAGGTCACTGTGATCTACAAGTGACACACCTCCAATAAAATCTTATACTGTTCTACCATTACCTCTCCTGCACAATTATGAACATCCCCTGTATTCCAGAACGGCGTATTATGGGATGCACCTTAAACATTTTACCATAATTTAGCAGAGAAAACGCCACTGGCAGAAAGGGAACCATGAGAACCTCACTTAGTACACCAGTATCTGATCCGTTTTAGGGAACAAGCAAACAACCCTCATGTTTAACAAGGTAAAAGCTGTAACAGTTATCAGTATTGGCTCAAAAAGCAGCAGAATTCCAAGCCTGCCAAGCACAGGAAGTCAAGCAAACACAACAGAAAGTATTTATTTAGCCAGGAGTTACATTACTGTCCCATCCACTCTCTGTAAGAAATGCTATAGGGTTTTTCTAGCCAAGCACCCCAGTTCTGACAGGCACTGTCAGAAGGAGATGTTTTTAACACTTTGGATGAAGAGATCATTCCTCAGGATGCTTTCCTTGACCTCCATCACCATTAAGTTAAGAATCAGCTTAAGAAACTTCCGAACTGGGGTTTCACCTGCATCAACACACTCACCTTGACACCTTCCTGGTGCTTTCTGAGCACTTACTTTTGACCTCCACAACAACCCCTGGTGATGACCAGAGTCACATCACCTCGATTCCACCTGGCAACCCTTAGTTCTCACGCCCAGAAGAGAACTAAGCACTGTATATTCATTTGAACATGAAGATAACCATATTAGATGGGGTCAGGTCCAGCTGGCCTCAGATCATGTCCCTGACATCAGCCAGCAGCAGATGCCTCGAACAAGCATGTAATTCCCAGGTCACATTCCAGTCTCCTCAAGGACTAGTTGAAAATGCTCAAATCCTTCAGGGGGCTATGATAGGATATGACCCAAAATCTGAGGATATTCTGCATTTGTGCAGCACCAGCTTTCCCCACACATTTCTCTCTCTCAGTTGTTGGGTTTGCTGCAGTGAAAAGGGAAAACAATCAAAAAGATTCTGTTTGCAGAAAACTGTAATTAAAGAACTCAAGTTTTGTTTTCTGAGCAGTAGCAGGTTACTCAAAGCCCCTCTTTTCAGGATTATTAATCATCCCATAAGCATTATTTTGTTATCAACAGCAAGCACCACTTACCCCTTTGTAACCCCGGGGGAACAACAAATACAATTTTCCTAAAAAAGAGGCTACACTTGACAAGTGACTTGCACATTTCCTTAGGCATCACTGGGCTTCTGAGATAAGTTATGGTCCAGAGCTGGCCTGTGCTCACACACTGCCTTCAGTGAAAGCTCATGTAAAGGTCAAAGGATCTGGAGCATGTTAGTACTTAGCAATGTTAAGAAACTTTGGTTGCAGCTTCTTTCCAGCTTCACTAGAGGATTTTGGATTAAACCTAATTCACGGTTTCAAGGTTGCTTAGGTCACTCTTAACAGTTTTAATAAATTAAGTACAAGCCTTCAATTAGAAGCCACAAGAAAGGAGATTAAAAATTCCCATTTGTAAACTTGCCAGGACTGCTCAAAAATTTTGATACACTTAATTTCACGTTTAAATCTCTTAGCAGTATTTAGCATAAACAAATGAGATTTTGTTCTATATATCCCCCAGCTCTATTTCAGAAACAGTTTGTAAAAATCTCAGTGTCTAGATCA